CAGGTCTAGAGAGAACGAGCTCATGATTGAGAGTGAATGGAGTAGACTTTCAAAATTATATGCCATACAAAATTGTATAAAAATATATTGAATGATTTATTTAGGGATGTGAGTACATTACACCAGTAATCTAATTCCCAGTATCTTCCTAAGCAGCTTTCAAAACCATTTTTTTTATTTCTTTGGGTTTTGAATTGCTGCTAAAATAATGAAAATGGATGGAGCTGATGATGAATCATCATGACAATGTTTGCTATCAACAGGGATTTTTGCCAGAGTGTTTTAATCAGGAACAAGGTCCCAGTGGCACTGGCCCACTTAGACCTGCAGATACAAAAAAATAGATTCTTGCTGTTTCCTTTTCTTGTGCTGGTGTTGCAACAGCTCGAATTAAAGCTTCCATTAAGAGTAATAAATGAAGGTGTTTCAAAGCTCTGTGGTTGGATGGTAGGTGAGCAGGCTAAGAGCTCTCTTGGGTTCTTCTGCATAGCCCCTGGGCTGATGTACCTCAGGGGGAAGAAGGCACAGGGACTCCCTTTAGGCACCTTGTTGCAGTGTGTCAGCAGCCAGGAGTGTTTCCCCCCACCCTACCCCACCCCAAAAGGCAGCAGGGAGGGATATGTGCCTCCAGACAACCTTTTAGGGAATGTGTGTTAAACAATAATTAGTCTTCTTTGCCCCACATGGCTGGCTGTGGAGGGAACCTGGGGAGCCCATATTACACATGCAGATTTAGCAATGTGGATATTTCTGTAGCTGTGAAATGAAAGTCCATGGAAAATTTGTTTTCTAAGAAAGAGCTGAACTTTATTTTGTATGTGAGTATCAATGTTTTTATGGATGTAGCTTGGACCAGACTTTAGAAGAAGGAAACCAAACAAAACCAAAGCAAGCACAGAATCAGAAACAGTATTAACTGTTTATTTCTTACACCAAAAATCATCAAAGGTCTGGTAAGTGGGAGTCTACTCTCAAGCTTGCCTCCTGCTTGCAGGGACCTCATTACTGCTGAGACTGGGCATTAGATTACTTGGCAGCCTGTGGTATATAACAGGTATATAACCTCCCTATCCTGAGGAGATTGGGTTGATTGCAGCTGTCATTAATTATGGTTGCAAAAGCAATTGCAGGTGGCAATATAAGCAAAGTAAGCATCAGCTGTTGTGGAGTCATAACTCAGGAAATCTCTTTCTCAGGTTGTATACTTCAGTGGCACAAATAATTGCACAGGAACTAGTACTATTTGTCATTTAATATATGGGGCATGACCAGGAGACATACTAATGTCTGACATCTTTTTTTTTTTTTTTCCCAGGATGATTTTCTGTATAGTGTCTCTGTTTTAAGTGGAATCCTTTGCACTGCCTTGGCAGTAATCAAATTTATGCTGGGAAAGGTCCTTACAAGCAGAGCACTGATAACTGATGGTGAGTGTGACATTGATCCTGCTGCATTTATAGGCTCTTCCAGGGTATGTAGACACAGGATATGAGTGAACCCTGCATGATGAGTTTGAAATAAAGTGCCCACTGGGAAATGGAAACATACCCCAAACCCTAGAATGGTATGGGGTAGGACAAGCCTCTTGCATAAATAGCTCAGCTGAAATGGGTATGTCTGGGGGAAGCCAAACAGTGAATATGTGGATAGTAAGCAATAATAGGGTTAGAGGTGGAGCAGATATAAATTAGGTGTGTATTAGCCAGAGGTTACACTACAGCAGGGGGAAATGACAGCAATATATAGAGCTTTGGTTAAGTCTCATCTATCCTCACTGCCTCTGCCTGCTGACAATCTAATCCTGACAGTTTGAACAAAGCCAAGTCTGTTGCAGAAACGCTGCCCTGCCTTGAGCAGGAATCACCACCAGCATTCAGACATACCCCCTAGATGTAATTTGTCACCACAGTGCTTTCCCTGACACTCAGCAGAGCTGAGGAAGCATCACAGGTGTAAAACAAAGGCCTTGCCTGCCTACTGCCCTGCACTCACCCAGCCCTGCCAGGGTTTGGTACAGGGTGAATCTCATCCACTCTACCCTTGGCACAGCTCACTGCCACTACTGTGTCAGCTCAGGTGTGTACACCTGAGTGTTGCTGCTTTTAAAGCCATATTTAAAATCATGTTTTAAAAGTAGGCCCAGATATGCCTTTTACTGCCAGGGCTCAAGCTTGTGAATCCTCAGAAGGCTCTGGGGATCTGCTCTGCAGACGAGTGAGGCCACAGTGATGGCAGAGGTTTCACAGCACCCTATGAACCTCTCCCAGCTTTTATCTGCCAGCTCAGGGCAGTTGGAAATACTCTGTGAACAGACACAGTAGGGTGGGAATGATTCATGGGTTGTGGTACATAAATTACTTTCCTCCACTAAAGATTTCACTTTAAGGAAATTCAGTTTTCAGCTTACTCCAGGGATACATACAATTGCTTTATTTTAAGTAAATGAAACATACTTAAATTTTTTTTTGGTGATGTGTGATAACACATGAGTATTTATATCATCCCACTTATAGAAACTCTTCAAGAGTATTTATATTTTAAAGACAAAATAAGCAAAAAGTGATCAGAACAGCAGTGTGGGGGTTACAGCTATGCTACTGCCTCCCTGCATTTGGGATTCTCTCCCAACAGACCTGCAGTTCAGAGATCTCATTCTTTCCTGTGCACTCTGCTAGCCTAGACATTTTGTAACAAAAATATCTCCAACCTGCAGAAAGGATTCTGGAAAGGATGCTGAGAGCTCCAGCCCAGGGAGTGTGACTTCCTTTGCTGTCAGGTGTAAGTGGGACACGCTGACCATTTCAGAACTGTGTCTAGGCAGGCAGATGATTTAGTCCTCCCTTTAAAAACTTGTGGCTTAGTTTTGAAACAGAGCAGTTTATTCAGGCAAAATATTAGCTGAAAATCCCTAAATAACTCCAGCTCTGAATTGTTCTCCTGTATGACACAGAAATCTCTTCCCCCATAATTACATCCTCGTGCTAATGATACTGCTGCTAAGCTGGAGATTCCTCATTCTTTGATTAAAAAAAATTAGGGAAAAAATATACAATTAAGCTTGGTCTGGTTTTTATCTTTCTTCTCTCCTTCAGAACTACTGTAGAACATGTAGGAGGCTGATCATACCATGTGTGGTTAAATATCTTCTTTCACAAGATATATTTACATATATACTTGATTTATTAACAATCAGGAGGAGACAATGTGATTCAGCAGCTGAGACAGATTTAGCACTCCCTTGCATATCTTTTTTTAGTGTTTTCTGTTTCCTGCTTATTTACCTCCTGTGATCCCTGGCTCTGGACCAACAAACTGTTTTGAGTAACAAGAGCATACATTTTTCTTCCTGAAAAATAGGTTTATTTTCAGGACAGCAAATTCTCCCTTATACATGTCAACCTCTATGAGCAATTTTGTTTTAAAGAATACTTGTGTTTTAGAGAGGGGCTTGACAACACTATCTCTTTAAAGCCTAGATGTATGAATCCTAGTGAGGTAAAATGTTAGTTGTACAGTTTGTTTATAACCAAAGTTTGTGGCCTTTTGGATAGTAAAAACAGCCATTTCCTCTCTTGAGTTTTTGTACCATCTCAGAGGACAAATATTGACATGTGATAGGTGATGTCAGACAACTTTCCTGTAGGTTTTAGATACCTGTTTCCTACCCAGAATTAGCTACCTGTTTTTTCCTGTGCTAGCCTTATGCACAGAACAGTGCCTGGATAAATACCTGCAGCCATTTCATGATTTCCTTTCCTGCCTCACCAGCAAAGAAAGGTTTGACTGAATGACAGTCAGGAAGAGAAAACAATTTCCTTTGCAAGCAGCTTTTAAACCATTTGGAACCATCAGCCAATAATGGCAAGGAAATGTATTATTCTTTTGCATATCATGCTGATGGGTTCTGACTTTAGCTGGAGCAGGGGAAGGAACACTGGTTTAAATGTCTAGTTGATTAATTTAGATTTAATATTCTTTATACAGTCATTATATATACCCACAATATATATTTCATCAACTTGGATTAGCAGTATAGGTTCATAAATAGGCAAGGACTGGATGTGAGGTCTGGATCAAAGGAGACACTCAAGAACAAGTGGTGTGTATGTGGTTGGCAGTGAGGGGGAATTGGAAAAGTCTGGCTGAGTGCTATAAGCAGCAGTTGGCTAGAGCTGACTCACCAAGCAATAGGGAATATTTAGAGTTTATTTTTTTTCTTTTGTGAACTAGGTTAAATAGTACATGGATCTACCAAATGAATGCATTGTCGGTGACTTTTTTTTCTCTCCCTTCTAGGTTTCAACTCTCTTGTAGGTGGAATAATGGGATTTTCCATCCTTCTTAGTGCAGAAGTGTTTAAACACAATTCTTCTGTCTGGTACCTGGATGGCAGTATAGGAGTGTTAATTGGACTTACAATATTTGCCTATGGAGTCAAGTGAGTATCTCCTGTGAGCAGGTGGTGCAGTGTGTCAGCAGAAGGGCTGTCTGGGTAAGGTAGTAAGCCATAGCTCTTGAAGGATTGTCTAACTCCAGTGCAATCAGTCCCTGGAGTGTACTAGACCAGCTACCAGTACTGAAGTAGAGTGTGTGGAAAGGGGTAAAAGATTGTGTCTCACATCAGCTGCAAAGCAGCCAGGACTTAAAAAGGAATTGGAATAACTTTGGAAGATTTTTGTATACCTGAATTGGAAATACAAGTTTTTAGGTGTTTTAAAAAAGCCCACAAATTGTGGATAAAATCAATCCCGGTTTTTAAGTGTTTGAAAAAACCCCACAAATTGTGGATAAAATCAATCCCTGTTGCTTTCATGGCACATTTCTAAGCAATGCTTTCCAAAGAAAGTATAAAGGAAAGGTGCCCAAGTTTAAAGAATGATCTTGCTGTTAGTTTCCATTCTAACCCTACTCTATGGCAATTTCTGAACTGGAGGTTGTCAGACATGCTTCAAATGTTGTCTTCAATTTTAAGATGCTTTCTTGATTCACCACACTAGAAACAGAGTTAAAAAAATCAAATGAAGCTTTGCCATGTGCTTCATTGCTGCCACAACTTCCCTTGACTGCATGGAATCTAACATGAGTTTTACCCTTTATCCCCCTTTCTGCCATGAGAGAAAGGAGGAGATGGAGCATTTTAGTTGGAATTGTGTCCATTGGGAAGCAAACCTTGGCCAGGGTACTTTATCCCCCTTTCTGCCATGAGAGAAAGGAGATGGAGCATCTCAGTTGGAACTTGTGCCCGCTGAGAAGCAAACCTTGGCCAGGCTGCAGTAACCCATCAGCTGGAAGCTGTGTGGTGTTTTATAAACTTGGAAAATTAAATTAACATTTTAATGGGGAATGCCATTCTTGGATAAGTCACTATAATCACTATTTCCATTGTAAAACTAACTGTTCTGGGAACAAATTAACTGGGGAAACTCTAGAGGCTGTTAACGACATCTGAGTTGGGTTTTATTCATGTAGTAAATGAATGTTTATAAGTGAGGAGAAGAGTCCTAGGGCTCTGCACCAACGCTGTGCTTTCCCCTGCAGGCTGCTCATCGACATGGTGCCTCGTGTGAGGCAAACACGCCACTACGAGATGTTCGAGTGAAGGATTCCCCTCCCCTCTGTAAGGACTGTACAACTACAGTGTCATCCGTCTTGGCAAGTGGTGCCAATGGTATTTTACTGAACATGCAGTTTGTTTCCCGTGGTCTGTTTTTTGTTGGAGTTTGTTTTAATGGGAGATCTCTCTGTAAATCTGGCATATGTGCACACTGCTTGCAATTCAGCCAAACAGCAGCGTTTTTTTTTTCTTCATTTCAAGTATGCTATTGATTCCTGTGACAATAGAAAACATGCAGTTTGCAGTTTGAACCCAGCTGCCATGGTGTATATTTCAGAGTGAAAGTGTTAATGGTGTGGTTAAGCCTGTGGGTAAAGAAGTGCCAGTTTCAGATTTGGGTTTGGTTTTTTTTTCTCTCCCCCTTGGCCTGTATTTTCCCAAACACATGCTGTAACAGGAGTACAATCCTTGCTAACCTCTTCGACTAAGAGTATCTTACATAGAGTCTGGACACCAAGAGCTGTGTTGCTTAAAACACTTACGAAGCTATTTCCCCCCCTCCCCTTCAAACAGCTACCCAGAAAGAGCAGCTCCAGCCCTTTCTGTGACCAGAGAGATACTGCATTTTAATCCCAAACTAACTGAGACTATACCTCTTCGACTTAAATTCTATTTTTTCTTAACAAGACACTGTTCATAGCTTTGCATGGACCAAACAAGCACACACAGTATTACTGTACAGACCAAAGCCAAAAAGTGGTGCAGGGAAGAGGAGCTGCTGAAGGAATGGGATTTTCATCTCCTATTATACCATATGCAGCTGTACCAGCGTGTGTGACGTTGTGGTTGCTCTGTAGTCTGACAAGGGCACAGCAGTGGCTCAATCTCGTGGTGAGATACAGATCTATTTATTAGATTTAGACTGTCCTGTAAAGTGTTGCTCACCTTCCATCACACATATATTACTTAATAGCAGGTTAAATGAGCAAAGAACCTTGATGTATAATCAATAAAACTGGTATCTATTTTATACAGTATCTGTAAGTAACATTTGAAAACTATTTCCAGAATGTATCATAGAACAAAGTCTTCCTGTATAGCAGCCTATTAAACTGGATTCTCTGGCTATAGCCATTTTCTCTTTATTTTATATAAGCCAGGTTGGTTTTCACAACAGGGAACCAGTATTGTTGCTTCTGTTTATCACAGGTGAATAAAAAAAAGTCCACTGTCGAGTTTGAAATAGGACCACAGTAAGTAGCTGAGTAGCTACTTACACAATAGCTACTGCACACCACTGGACTACAGAAATGAGAGTAGATGTGCAATTAGACTGATCAGTGCTTGCTGTACAGTGGGGACACTCATTTTTTCACTGGTGTGATGCTAAAACTATTTCCCATCATGTCACTTAGATCCTTAAGGATCTCTAGTAAAAGCCAACTCCAAACAATACATGTAAGAAGAGACCACTCAGTGGTTTCACTGACCTGGCAGTGCCCATATGAGGGGCACAGTGTTGGAAAGAGGACAGTCCTTGGTACAGGATTCTTTATGGTAAAGTGAAATTTGTTCTGCTGCTATAGTTTGTTTTCAATGTATTTTGGCTCAATGAAGTCTGTATAAATGTTTGTAAGCAAACTTGCTAATACTGTTGCTGCCAGTGCTGATGCTGCTTGTGCCTTGCTGTCACAGGATGATCTTAGAGCTCGTCGTGTCACTCAGCAGTAAGATGACAAAGCAGCTACTTCATGAGAGCATTCAGCAAGGACTCCAGGAGGACTGGCCAGTATAGGAGTGCTCACTGTACTCCTCACAGGTGGATTTTTAAGTATCAAGTGCCACCCTAGGACCCTTTCTTCCTGCACAAGACCCTAATTTGTTATAATTTTGCTTAGTCCTGGTATTCTCCCATTATATCTCTCCTCTCACACCTAGTTCCATGAACTGAGATGTGGAACAGGTATTTCCTCACTTACTAAGCTTTTTGTCAGGCATCTTCAGCCTCAGAATCATAGACCTAAAGCCTGAACCTAGCTACATTAGCCATTTCATGGCTTTGTTAGTTTTGTTTGTACTGTTTACCCTTTCTCACCTCTCTCAGGGCTTTATTCCTTCTCCAGTCCCATTGCTAGTTATGAGAATTGACACTTGGGAATTAGCAGAAGGGCCATGCAGTCCAGCAGCCTGTTTGCAGCAGAGCCCAGTGCTTCTGCAGGCAAGTGAGCAGGAGTTTGTGGTGGTGGCAAGATGCTGAACTCCTGATAGAACCTTTGCCACACTAAGTCCTAAAACACTGAAAGTATGTAGGACACTCAAACCAACACCCAGCCCAAAGATGGAATAGTTCTGTTAAAATGCTGAGTGTAAACAGGAGCACAGATGCTCTCGTGCATGAAGGAAAGCTAAACACCAGGTAAATGAAGTTTCATACTTGCTTCTGGAACTCTGGAATGTTCTGAGGATGTTTCTAAGTACAGAATCCAGCTGTGTAACCTTTGAAAAGGAGATGTGGTTAAACAAGTTAAACATACTTTGTCTTATCAGTTTAATTTAAACCAATTGCAGAAACTTTTCAGTAACCACAGGTGCTTCAAAGGATTTCTGATAGCAGCAGGTAAATACAAGAAAATAACTGAAATACTTGTGAAACTTGAAAAAGGTCAGGAAATAATGATTCTCAGAGATGAAAGCAAATAGATGCTGATAAAGCAAACTGGCAGCGGGGAGGCTTTGTACAGTATGTGACAATAGCAGAGAAAATAACTGCTCATCCATCTACTGTGACACTGCTCCAGCCACCCTCAGACCTAACAGTTTCTATGAGTTTTCTTTATTGAATGCCTGTGCCAGTTGATTTTTCCAACTATGAGATAACAAGTGTGCTTCCAGCTAGGCTAAGGGAAGGTGGACTTTTCAAAAGCTGAACAGCTCAAAAGTGCTGGGACTAATCACCTGAAACTTGGCCCTGGCCAATATAATAACCTGCTTGGTGATCACAGCAGCTCGTCAGCACTGCCAAGGCTTCTTTGTTGTGCACAGGGCACAAGGAAGGAGCCTCAGTGCTCACACAAGAACAGCACTGGCCAGAACAGAGGCTGCAAACTGACACTTATTAAAGTCTGGCCAAGTTCAGAATTGCAAATTACATCCCTGAAAGGGACTATGACACTGAGCAGATGCTTTGAATTTGGCCATGTTGTTCAGTAGAGAAAGGAGCTGTCAAAAACTCTGTCATTACACCAGCTGCAGCTTTGAATCCCATGACCCACACACTCCAGGTAGCCATGGGAAATGGTAATGGTCCACTTACAGCTAAAAGCCAGAGTTTTGTGAGCCCAAACTGTCATTAATAAATCACCAGACTAACATCCACTGCTGATTTAGTTCCATTTCACTTCTAGCAGTAACAGGCAGACCATAAATAGGCATCATCCAACCATGGTGGAAAAATGCAGCCTCAAATGAAGCTCTTTGCTGAAGATGATGCTCCAGGTATGGACATGAAGTGAAGATCCCAGACAAGATGCTTGTCAGACATGGGCAAGTTCAGCTCTAGGTACACCTGTATTTGGGCCTGTACACAGAAGTGCTTAGCACTACTAATAAACATCACTTGCATTTCTGCACTCCCAGCTGCCTGGGGAAAAGTGTAGGCATTTCTGGGGTTCTTTTCTGTGGGCCAGCTCATGAAGATGCTAGGTCACTGGACAAGTATTAACAGTTTGGCTTGGAAGGGACCTTTAAAGGTCACCTAGTCCATATAAGAAGCCTTAATAATACACAAAGCAGGAAT